GTAGGGTAGTCCTGGGTAGGGTAGTTCTGGGTAGGGTAGTCCTGGGTAGGGTAGTCCTGGGTAGGGTAGTCCTGGGAAGGACTGTTGTCGGTAGAAGCAACGAATGTTTCAACAACCTTAGCAGCAGTGATTATCAGAGTCTAGTGATGTTACTACCAGCATCAGTCCCTGTCAGGACTCTACCCTCACTCGGATGTTAGGACTGCACAGTCTAATGTGCATCTCTCTCAGGGCTCGACATTAACTTTTCAAGTTACTAGCCTAGTGGCTAGTGACAACTTAGCTGTTAAAACAATTTCAGTTTGTTTACTAGCTAAACTGGCTAGTGGAAATCGAAAACCACTTGCCAAAACTGAGTTTCCACTAGTCTGTAGCTTGATGGCTACCGTCAGTGTCAAGCCCTGTCCCTCGTTCTTTTCTTTTTTAAGTTCAAATAATTGATATCTTTCATTCTCTGTTCATTTTCCAGTGATGATTTGTTCTCATTAGAAAACAGTCCAGGCAAGACTGTCATCATAGGAGCATCATACGTTGCTCTGGAATGTGCAGGGTTTTTAGCTGGGATCAAGCTTGATGTAACTGTTTTGGTTCGATCCATTCTCTTACGAGGTTTTGACCAGGTACTGCACCTTAGAATAACCGCGGATACTTAACCCTTAACACCCCTAACATCAGCATGCATATTCTCCGCACTGTTCTCTATACATTTCCTAAGGTGCTGATAAGGAGAATTTGTTTAACAAAAAGAGTTTCTACACTTGGTGATCATTACTTTCATTCTCGTGACCATAACGTGCGATTCAGGGGTGATTTTGTTAGGTTTTGTAAGAAGAAATCAGATGCTGGTCACGTAGTCACTCTTAGGAGTCTGAGGATTAATCATTTGTCTCATTATGTGGGTTTTCCGGTTCGATGTCAATAACTAAGCAACTGCGCTTGAGTTCCTTGGAGCACGTGATTTCTAATCCAGGGTAGTAGCCTTTTCAAACGATAGATAGGTTGTCTCGGTAGGAAGTCCTGAATTTTATCAAATCATTCCTTGAAAAGTTTATGGTTTTATTAACTGAGTTGATAATGTAGATTGGCCACGTTGAAAGAGTTTCAAATTTGACATTTGCAACAGATTGCGCTTGTTTGGCCATAAAGCGCGTTTGCCATCATGCGACCTTTTTCAGGAGAGGTTCAAAAGCTCTCCTCTATGGGGAACTGAAAGAAGGTTCGAGCAGACTTGGTCGCCTTTTATGAAATCTTTTATTAAGATTTCACAACAACATGGAGGAAAAGGCAAAGCAAAGTGAGGGGTGGAGAAAAAAGGGAACTGATTCTATAAGTTTTAGCGATGCATCAAATACACGCTTGGGTTGTGCGGCATATATATATCATACCTTGCATGTAACGAGACGGTCTTACTCATCTTTAGACAGTCAAACTTGTATTTAACGGCTCCGTATTAAGCGGACACCCTGTATTTTAGCGGTCAGTTGTGAAATTCCGGTTTTTTTTCCCTTAATCACTGTAATTTTTACCTTTACTAAGCAGTTACCTCTATAAAGCGGTCTCGGTCACCCTTTTCTAAGTCCCAACGGCCTGTTTTATCTTTCCCCACCTTTATCAAATGGTCACTGAAACCCAGACCACTCAAATAGAACTAAGAATAATCTTTCAAGTAATTTTTAGTGTATGCTTTTCTCCAAAAATAAAAGTAAGTAGTGTTTGAATGTATAAGGTACGAGTTTAGAGTTACTGACTGCCGCTGTTGTAGACTCAAACTTAAATTTGATGAGCACGTCTTAGGTGGCTGGTGCTAATGACACGTATTGGTTTTCTTTTTGTAGCAAATGGCGGAGTTAATTGGCAATGACATGATTAACCATGGAATTAAAATCAAAAGACCAGCAGTTCCTACAAAGGTATGTGCATATAGCATTGTAGAAGAAGTAGCGTTTGTAGTCGTTTTTGTAGTTCTCGTCTTCATTCCTAATCTATCCATGAAGAGAGCAGGTCAGATTTGGTGCTCTAGGATAACTTCCCCAAATACATTGAGGGCCGGTTATTTAAACAAAGTTTAGCCGTTGTTGAACAAAACAGCTTCTAAACTATGTTTAATTTAGCCGAATCTTTTACCTGAACATTTATTTTCGTGAACAGTTTTAAGAGGGCCGAAAGCTAACAGTAGAGAGACATTTATTTATTGAAATCAATTCTCTTTTAGAGGATACCTGAGGCCCATCATTTGCGTAAAACTGCGGTTTGGGTTAGACCGCGTTTAAATAATCGGCCCTTAGTTGTTTGTTTGTTTATTTGTTTGTTTTATTTAAGATATTCATTTCTTTCGATTCCGTCGAAACTTCAAACGTACGGTCCGCTCCCGGACTTTTTCTGGAGATTTTATTGATAGCCAGTACCAAGCGGTCAACCAGACTGTTACCCCAAATGTTGAGATTTTTATTTCTTTCATTTGCACAGTAAGGTGGTCACATGTAACTATTCTGCCATTGGCAGCCATCTATGAAGAATAGTTTTTTTATATATTCCTGTTTGCGGATTTTTCTTAGGTCGAACTTATAGAAGAAGGAACACCCAGAAAACTAAGAGTTCATTTTAAACATTTAGACACTGGTGAGGAAAACTCCATCGAATGCAACACTGTAAGTATTTCATTTGTTTGGCGATTTGATGCTAAACTTTTGTTCTGAACGCTAGTATTACAAACCTGAGCTCTTTTGGAGTGAGGTTGTTAATTAAAAACCGAAATTAATGTATCACAAGGAACCCATAAAAGTCCAAATTAAAACAAATCAAGAGCTTGAGTCGCGATGGGAAAACGATTACTGACGAAGCCACAAAAGCCAATCAGAACAGATGAAAATATAACAAGTGGCCAATGATAACTCAAAGAAAGTTTGTAGGTGGGAAAACGCGAGCGAAGAATCGCGACTTGCTTTAGTGTCGCTTTTGATTAGTGAGAGTGTCGCGTGAGTTTATTAGATTAATCTCAGAAGGAAAACCATTATAAACCCAATCAATGCGATATAATTACTATGTTTACTTTTTCAACCAGGTGATGTTTGCGATCGGCAGAGACCCGTGTACACAGGGAATTGGTCTCGAGAATGTCGGTGTGAAACTCAATCCAAAGTAAGTGTTCGTCCGTGTCAGTAAACTGTTTCTGCTCGGGCGAGAATTACGTCCGGACAGTACTATTCAGTAGAGTCGCATGACTGAGTTGGTGGGTTTGGCACGGGGTAAAATGGTCACTTGTG